CTGTTTAAGTCATATGACCACTATTAATTGGGTTATTTGTTTGACTTTTTGTGTTATTTTTTAAATTATTTATATAGTCTAGGTATTTATCTTATATCAAAAGACTAGCTAGCAAAGATTTTCTCCCATTCTGTAGGTTCTCTCTTTACATTCTCAATTATTTTCTTTGCTTAGCAGAATCTTTATAATTCAATGCCATCCCATTTAATAACTCTCAGCATTATTTCCTGAACTTTAGGGGACCACATGTATTTTTTATTGTAGCTATCCTAGTGTGTTTGCAGGGGCATTGCACTGTGATTTGTATTTGCATTTTCCTCACAATTAATGATATTGAATATCTCTTCTGTGTCTAATGGCCATTTGTATATCTACTTTAGAGAATATCTATTAAAAAACTTTGTCCACTTTTTAGTTATTTATCTTTTTCTGGTGGAGTTATTAAGAGTAATTTATTCTGGATTCAAGTCTCCCATGACATATATGATTTGCGACATTTTCTCATATTCTGTGGATTGCCATTTTGCTTTCTTAATAGTGTCCTATGAGGCTAAAAGTTTTAAATTTCATTGAAGTCTAATTATTTATTTGTTTCATTTTCTGTGCTTTTGTCCTTCATAAGACACCATTGCCCAAGATAAGATCATGAACATTAACTCGCTTTTTTTCCTGAACAGTTTATTGGGTTAGCTCTAAAAATTTAACAAAAATGAAGTATTTTATTATTCTTAATACTATTCTAAATTGTATTTTTTACCAAATTTCAGTTTAGGATTTTCATTACTATAGGCCTATGATATATTTTGAGTTAATATTTTATACAGTGGGAGGTCTCGCCTTATTCTTTTGTGTATGGATAATTCATCACTGGAGATTATTCTTTCCTTATTAAATTTTCGTGGTACCCTTGGTTAAAAAAAAAACTATTGTTCATAGTGTTTCAATTGTGATTCTCAATTATATTCTATTAATTTATATGCCTTTCTTTATGTCAGCACCACTTACTCTTGGTTGCTGTTGTTTTGTGTTTGTTTTTGTTCTTGTTTTGATAGAGTATGAATCCTCCAATTTTTTGAGATTGTATCAACCATTCTGGATTCTTTACATTTCAATATGAATTTTTGCCTCAGCTTGTAAGTTTCTGGTAAAAGGCAACTTAGACAGTATTAAATTATGTTGAATCTATAGATGTATTCATCAAGCAATGCTATCTTAATCACACTTGCTCCCAATGCACACATTTGGAATGCCTTTACATTTTTCGATGTTCTGTAGTTTTCAGTGTACAAAAGTTAAACTTCTGTTAAATTTTTCTTAAGTATTTTATTATTTGTAATACTATTCTGAGTTGTATTTTGTACTAAATTTCAGCTTAGGATTTTCATTACTATAAAATAAAAATACAAAAGATTTTCATGTATTCATTTATAACAGTGCTAAACACATTCATTAATTCTATTAATTCTCTTAAAATTTTTTTGGATCCATCAAATGGAGAATTGACAAATTAAATGTAGTATGCTCATATGATGAAATGCTATTTGACAATCTAACATGCTACAACATTGATAAACCTTGAAAACATGCTAAGTGGTAAAAGCTAGACAGATAAAAATTATACACTGTTTAGTTCCATTCATGTAAAATGCATAGGACAGAAAAATTTTTTTAAAGCAAATCAAGAGTTAATGTGCCTTTTAAGTGTTGTTATTAAGTTTTATATCTCAGGACTGGGATAAAGCTCAGTTGGTAGAGTTCTTGCCTTGCATGCACAAGGCCCTGGGTTCAATACCCAGCACAACAGGAAAAAAAAAAAAAAAAGCTTTACATATCTCTGTAGCTATAAAATAATCTGCTGTCTTTAAGCAGCTGCCTTACAACCAGAAATCCAGTAAAAGCAGAGGTCCTTTCCTCTGTATCACTTAGGTATAATCAATCAATGTCACACAATTAATCATTTGAACAAACTTTTCACCAAACAGCTATCTGCTGCAATTTGAATGTTGAAGTTCCCCCAAATATTCAGATGCTAAAGGCTTGATCCCCAACATGGTGCTATTGACAAGTGATGTAACATATAAGTCCTGGAGCCTTTAAGAGGTCTCTGGGTCATTATCAGCATGCCCTTGAAGGGGACTGTGGGACCCTGATCTCTTCTTATCCCTCTTTTTTGGTTCTTGACTCATGAGGTAAGCATTTTGTTTTACCACATGTTTCCACTATAATGTGTTGTCCTTGTGAGAGACCCAAATTGATGGGGCCACTTAAATTTTGAACTAGAATCTACCGAACAGGAATCCAAAATAAAATTTTTCCCTTTATAATTTACTTGCCTTAGGTGTTTCAGTATAATAACATAAAACTAACATAATAT